AAAAAATCTTTTAGCCTTTTTACTTTAGTGAAGAAGGAAGACCAGCGAAGCTGTACGCTCGTCCTGTGTGTTTCTTCTTCGTCCTCGTCTGTATTGCGCGCTGCCCCCTACGACGGCGGCAACCAGACTGTCTGGTTGCCGCCGTCGCTCATAGGTGGCGGTAGCTGTCCAGAGTTTTGTGTCTACATTTATTTGGTACCGGACACGAAACTGGGGAAACTAGCCCTCAACAGCTCCCCTGTAAACTTCCTGCCCGTGGAACATCCCTTTTATTATACTTGGTGAGTGTAAGGTCGCAATGCATGTGGCAGTTGTTCCATGGCGCTATATGTGGTGGGTGCTGGACCAGTAGAGGATTTGCATCCATCACAACAGATTGTGCTACCTATTATTTCTGAGACAAAAAGGGGGGACTATGGAAGGTTTCTTTGGAAATGTGTACTGAAACTTGATGTTCTCAATACTATCTCGAACGGGGTGCTCGGCGACCGAGCGAACTCTGATAGAGTACATAAAACCCATGGAAAATCTATACTCCAGGGACAGCTCATTCGCTTCTGCATAAAGGCTAAGTACCAGAGAGATGTACCAGTAGCTAATCGCAGTCCCTGGTGATGAATGCGATCTAACATCTTCCGAACTAATGCACGGGCAGAGTTATAGACAATACAACCATAATCAAGCTGAGAGCGAATGACGAAGCGATAGATACGCAAACGGCACAGTCGGTCAGAGCCCCATGATACATGTAACAAGACCCTGAAAAGAAAAAAAAAATTTCTTTTAAACTGTTTGGTTGGGGTATGCGTGTCAAAAAATAACTTTTATGCAAAACAATTTTGTTTTTTAGAGCAATATTGACAGCGAGAGATTTCTTTGAAATTTTGCAAAAGCAAAGTCCATGACATCATGGAATGGTCATTCACTCTTTCGACTTCAACCAGATGGTCATTTGTTTTTTTCACCTCAATGTGAAGGCAAAGCCTATCCACCTTTCCTCCTCGCTTTCGAAATGCGAGAGAAAACAAGTGGAGAGGAGGCGACTACCGACTAAATCGCATCTCGTGCCGTCAATATTGATCTAAAAATATTTTTTTCCGCGTAAAATTAATTTTTTTGACACGCGTGTCCCAACCAGACTGTTTAAAATTTTTCTTTTTTTTTTTGTTTAGGGGCCCTTTAAGGATATTCAGAGATTTAAAGAGATACTTCAATGAAATTTGAAATATTCCCATCGTGTTCAAAAATGAGTTGAACATGAACCAAAATATCCGTAAATGACAACCGCACGTTTGTATTTTGAGCCTGGTGGCTCTATTTTTCGTTATAAACGGCCCACTCTGGCAAGTGCTTGAAGAACAGCCAGCGGAGACCACGTGACATCCAACGCAATCGTGACGTAGTTCGTCTTGGGACGAGCAAAGCTACGGCGAGGCTGACGTCGAGAGGATGGCCTAGTCGTTGCAGCCACCTAAGCGGCTGCTTTTGTGCAAATTTCGAGTGACGGGTTAATCTTCTATAATCTTGTAGGGGGACAATAGCGACTTCTGAGACGCACAAAAGGGATTCTCGGGAAGAGGGCAGTTCCTCCTTCCCCCCTTCTCTCGTCGTGGCCGGAGGCGAGACACTCACCATCACTAGCTGTCAAGGTTCCTAGACGGGCATTACAAACGAGGCGTTAGCTACATCCACCAGGTGCTCTTTGCTAATTGTTTAATTTGTTTTAAAATTCCTTTTCGTGACTTTTTTAAAAAGGTATTGGTGTGTTCGATGTGATACTGCTCCTTTGAACACATATAGACCAAAAAATGAGCGCCGAAATTTTGTTGTAGTATCCCTTTAAGACACTTGAGTTTTAAGCTCTTAATCCGTGGAATGAAAGACAACGTGGAGTCAAACACAAGGCCCAAAAACTCGTATTAATTTTTTACAACAATAGGAGTACCATACATGTTCAGAGATGGTTCCTGAAAAATTCCACGTCGACGAGAGAAACAGACACAAGGTGTTTTTTCGGGAGAAAATTTGAAACCATTTTTATCGGCCCATTTGACCAACTTATTAAACCATTAGCGCCTATAGTCAGTTACAGGTTAAGAAGGTAGCGGCAAATGCCCCTCAAAGGGAATCTGATATCCCTCCGCCACCTCCGCATCCAATAGCGTCCCACCGTTTCCGTGACGTCGCGGCCAACGCGCGAGGAAGGGCTTGCCTTTCTGTACATATTTGCTTTATCTTTCGACTTTGACTTAGCATTGTGGAAGCCACGAGAGGGAGATTAGAGTTCCCCCCACCGACGGAAACAAATACGACTTTCGGGGATTAGCTTCCCCCCCCGATGGATACAAAGGCTGCTTTCAGGGGCTCGGTTCCAACTCCGATGAATACAAAGGTCGCTTTCTTAAAAAGTGGGATCGGAGACAAGTGGGAATCCATTGAAGCGGAACAAGGAGCGTTTCCAGTGAACTCTTCTTTCGACTGCGGAGAGATTTGAAACGGGCGCATCACACTTGTGGGAGGAGCTTCTCCTACCTTCTTGACTTGTAACCGACTATAGTGTACTTTCAGAAGTACAGGCACTCAAAACTATCTAGCGGGCGAAGGAAAACATTTAAAGGGACACTGACAGGGTATTTATTCTCGCCGAGGTTTTTAGTTGTACGTGACATAGGAGAGCCCAACTACCCAGAACAGAATTTGCGGCTCAAGATTCGGTTTCTTTCCGCCTGAAATCCGCCGATCGAAAACTGGCCAGTTTGAGTCGCGCTCACTCTCTTTTCCGTGGTCACGGGCCGCTTTCTAAGGTTTCGACGCGACCACCAAATTTAATCGAAGTCGTGGGTCATTGAAGGCACACAGTCAATATTAAAAATAGAAAAAAAAATAAAACCCATTTTTTGTGGCTTCCAAAAAGCTGCAAATACGTTGATTAAAAAAAAAAGAAAAAAAAGGGGTAGCACAGACAACCGGAAGCAATCTGTGCGTTCACTGCATAATTTTCAACATGGCGTCGTTTCGCGTATCGTGGGACTAGCGGATCAGCGGATGACGGGCATTGGACCTCTACTTCAGAACTGTCGTTCACATTACCGGCGAATTCTGTCTTCCTTCGAAAGAGAAATTTTGGACCGATCAAAAGAACTGATATTCATCCCGTACGACACCCCCAACCAGCAACCAGATTGCACGAAGACGTTGCCGACGTGGCTGAAGACATCGCTCGCTCAAACGTCCAGCACGAAGTGCGTACTTCGAGTTGAATACGCACGCGTATGGTTTCTTTACGAGGTGCAAATGTGACATACGCGTGGTGCTGCCCGACTTCAAGCCGGGAGTGCATGTATTGAAGGGAAATCAGCAGCAAACTTCCGACATACAGTCTATCCGCCGCATTACTACGTATGATTGAGTTCCTTCAGTAGCTCAGTGGAAAGACGTCCGCTTCACACGCAGTGGGCACAGGTTCGATCCCTGGTGTAAGTGTACTTTTTTTTTTTTTGTCAAATATTTAGCGATGTTTACATTTATTGTTTTTACACTGAAAAAAAAACAATTGTTGTGGACGATACATCGCTGGAACTAAATGGTATGGGATTCCATTTTTGACACCTGCGAACTCAATGTAGTCACTTTCCACAAAATGCAAGGAGCATATGAATCGGGTAGCGTCCGCTTTCCAAGCTTCGCATAACTGTTCCACGGGAATTGCAGCCAGCCATTGATCCCGATCCGTTGATCTTTTGGAAATTTGTGCACTCTGCCACACAATGCCACTTTCAGATGCAGGACATGTGAGGCAACTCGTCACGCAACATCTTGGGAGTGTTTTTTTCAGAGCCGATCACGGGAATTCACCACGGCACTCGGGCCCTCACTACTAATTGTCAACACTTAAATGTACAAAACAACTCATCTTGAAGTACAGAACAGCGAGCGGAACAAACATAACTGTAAAGGAATCACAAGGCGAACGAAAGCATTTCGTCTGCTACGTGTGGAGAGAAAAAGAAAAAAAAAAACCCGCATGGTCGGGTGTAGCCACGTGACTTCCGCCACTCACTCTATCCTCTCCACTTCTTCGTGCGGTGCGGGAGTTTCGGTTTTGGTTTCGAGCAGTTGCGTTTTTTGGCTTTATTAAAAGAATATGGGGCTCTGTAGAAAAATATTATTTGGGTAGTGTTCCGACACCACAATAAATCGCCTGACAAAAAAGGAAAAAAAAAATTTTGGGGGGTGTCAATGTCCCTTTAAGGAAATGACAAGTGCGGGAGCCTGACACCAGGGAGACGCGCTACCCCAAAAAAGAGTAGACGTATGGATGACAACCCGAAATGGGCGAAGACAGATGCCGATCAAGCGTTTGGACAGCACCAACAGAGGCGACTGATCAGCGCGCAAGAAGCGTGAAATCGAAGTTTTGTCACTCCTCTCCAGTTGATATTGTTTCAACAATTTTAGATCAGGCAATCCTGCTGCATATTGTAAGAAAAAGTGGCATGTATGCTAAGCAGAACAATGAGCACGGGTTTACACTGACCACAGGAGACTTGCAAAACTTCATTGGAATACTTCTACTCAATGGCTATCATAAGTCGCTTGCGGTTCGTAGTGACGCCACTTACAAATCACCTACTAAAGTAGGCGCCCTCCGCGTGTGGGTATGGCGGCCCACGTGACTGGGGTCCGTGGTGACGCCACTCACCAAGCACCAAACACCTATGGTGTAGGCACCCCTTGCGGGAGATAAGTGGTGGAGCTGACATGCTACAGATAACATTTTGCGGCGCCTTGCGCCAGGCCCCATTATCTCGTAAACGTCGGACGGAAGTGAGCAAAAAAAGAAATACACGACTGCGAACCCAGAAGGAAGCGCATGTGCAAAGAGCGAGTCTTGAGAGCAGCAATGCGCCGTCAGAAGGCGCAGCCAGTCTTTTCGGCTGGCGCTCCCATGCCCCGCAAACTTTTGCTGCTGACTGTATCTTGAAACGTCGAGGACCCACCTGAGAACCAGGAGACGGCCAACCCTTGGGCGGGAAGGTCGAAGGGTACCCTGGTGGCGCACGGGGGTCTCCATATGGGCCAGGGTGGTCCGGACCTTTGCGGTGGTCTGTCATTGTACCCTGCTGAGATGACCACTCCAAGGGGACCAGCGGAATGGGCTCCGGAGCACGCTCAAAGACGGGTGGTCTCTGTGGTGGCTCTGATTCGGACCAACAAGGCAGAGGTCAAGTTCCCAGCAGTATGCTATCCCTTTCGGCTCACTGCCACAGTTTTTCGACATGCCGCATCTTGAAACTTTCTGCATCTCTCTTACAAAGTTCCATTATTTTAGCAGACCACAATTTTTGCAGAGTGACCAGGCTAACAATTTAAAATTACTTGTGGAGTTGGCCCCTCCCATTTCTTGCACACCAGATGCACTGCCGCGCTGCCCTATGCTTGCTCCTCAACTCTTTCTTTATTGCACTCATTCAAATCGATCAATTTGATTGATGAATTTCAAACCCTTTTTTCGACGCATTCAGTTCCCTTTCTAGGTCTGTGGTGCCACCTACGATAACCACTCGAGTTTCAGTTTCGGTTTTTGCTTTTCCGCAAGGAGGCGATTTTTCACGTGCCTTTAAAGTACCAGGATCAGCGTCCTCGTCACGCGCCGATGCTCGTCAAAAAAATCACCTGACTCGCAATTCTGGTGTACATGCAATGAATTTGGTCCATGAAAGTGGCAGAAGTAAGTCAGAGGATGACTTTAATTCATTGGACTTTAATTTGGACAGTGGCAGTGGAATCAAATCAGCCTGGACCATTCACAGATGCCTGTCGGTATGTTTCATTTTGCGGACCGAGCGCATTTATTGCCTTCGTGAGCTCCTGCAAAGACACTAGGCATGTTCTGAACACATCAATTTTTCATTTTCATCTGCAGGGTGTCAACATTATATAGACATAATTTTATGCCATCAGCAGCAAAACGAGTGGAGTTTTCTTCGACAAGGCGACCCGGTCCCGGTCTTGACATAACGCTATGGTGAAGCATGAAACACTTTGGTCGGGGCTTTGGAGATTGGTACAGTCATCATGGGGGCTAACTTAAAATTTTTTTTTTTTTTTTCTACAGAAGTGTTGCACTGCTTTTTAAACTTGCAGGATTTGTTTCTACAAAAGTAAGGTACAAAATGTGTATATATATATATTTTTTTTTACTCCGAATTTTTTGCAAGGCACATTGAATTAAAATAAATACTTGTGTTAGTTACAGAAAATTTTACATTACATTTTTTTTTTCTTGTAGTATGCAATATATATCTTGCTTGACATTTACATTGTTGAAAAGAGAATTCTTTTGGCTACATTTTGATATGCTTTGGTACACCTAGTACTGTAATTTGCAGCTAAACAATTTTTTATTGAGACCACCTCATAACTGCCTTTTTTCCTGCTATAAGAAAAGAGTTAACCTCATGGGAGTAAGGTGTGAGCCACACTGTACCATTACTTCTCCGCAAATATTACAACATATTTTTCTGCACATCTGGTTTTATTTGTGTATATATCCTATCTCTTACATGAACATGGAAGTATAAAAATTTTTGACACGGCTTTCAAGTTCCTTAGAGAAAATTGTAAACTGTGATTTAGTTTCATGCAGGCAAACATTAAAAACTCTGTATCTGTGGCAATACAAAGCAGAATTTAGTACCCGCCTTTGCTATAAGTTTTGCCCAGTAAATGTATTTTCACAGTTAATAACTACACACAGCTATCACAATTACAAAAAAAAAAAAAATACATTACACTTGGTTTAGGGTTTTTCTTTTGACAAAGCTATACAAATAAGATACTGGGGCAAAATGACAAGCACCAAACACCAAAGCGTAATAAAAACCACAAGTAAATAAACACTAAAACTGAGAAGGCCAAATCCTGTACGTTGCCTCCCACAATAAGCGCTAACATGACATTGGCACTTTCTTGCCTCATGCTCATAAGGATTTGCATCTAACACCAGGTTTTGCTGCCATGGTTGGTGTCTTGCATGCTCGAGCTGTTTCACAAACTGTACAACTGCACTATCAAAGGGTGGTGTTTCACTTTGCTGGGGCAACAAAAGGGACCCTCGCTTTATGGATGTAATGGTGGCTGCAACTATAACTGCACATGCTAAATTGGCCTATCCACCCAACCTGCTCGAAAGTACTATAACTTTTTCCCAAACACCACTAATGAGACAAAACTGTATTTCGGCTGGCACGAGAAGGTTTCAAAAGTGTACGTGTCGAAACATTGTGGCATCACTTTTTGGCTTGCTACAACTTCCAACATCCCCCCGTCAACATTCCACTCCCAAGAGAGCTTTCGAGAGACAGAGAAAGAAGAAGCCTTTGGACCTTTAAAAGATTGCAGAGAGACGCAGAAGAAGAGTAACCCTCCACCGCAAGTTGGTTTAGGCCACCGGCAAATAGCGTGACATTAGGGAAGAACGTAAGCCTTCCTCACCCTCCAGGTTATTAACACTGTCCAACCAAGAGGCAACCATGGTGCAAAGTTTCCACTTGGACTTGGGAATGCCTTCCTTCACTGGAGGGGGTTGCACGGAAACAAACAAAAAGAAAGAAAACAATGGAACCTTCATCAAGAGGAATACTCCACCTAACAAAGAACAAAATGTGTGGCTCCTTTTTTATATTTTTCTTCCCACGAGCCAATTTTTATAGTGATGTGGAAATTAGAAACGCCATCAAAAAGTGCAGAAGTACTGCATTCTTCAGAAAGGAAGCCACTGTGCCCAGGGATGCAGAAACCTGGTTCTTGCTGTGAGGCCTATTGCACTCGGTTGAAAATAAGCTCAGAAGATGGTCTTTCCTTGCACCCCAGAAGCCGGCGAATTCCGGCCTTTTACAATAAATCTGATAAGCAGACTGTGTTCCGTCGATTTTAAGGTGGCACATTGAAGCGAGACCTTACACGTGATCAACACTATTACCTAATGCCCCCAAAGAGTGCACCTAACCAAAATAGGTGCAACTTTCCATTCACTGTGGCTTCCTCGCAATAAATGGCACGGCAGTTCTCATGCAAGTGCCATCACTGAAACCATAGTTCATGTTCTTTCTTAAGGGGAGACCCTGATCTTGAACATTTTTTGTTCTTATTTTTCATCTAATTTTTATTAAAGCCTCACATCTACTATAATTGTTTGTGCTAAGCACAAACATAAGCTCATTGTTTTCTTATCTATTATAGTTTTCAAAAAAATCTCAACTTTGATCCCAAATGTTTCTCCCCAACATTTTTACAATTCTGCCATCAAAAAGTATGGCACAAAGCATGCCGGCATATTCTACAAACATTAGAGTGTGCAGCAAATCATTCCTACAATTTTAGCTTCATTTTAGAAAAAGTTACAAGCTGAAATTGTTTCGCTGATAATTAGAAATTAGTCATTAAAGTCTTTGCCACAGAAAATTTTGCAGCTAACAATTTCAAGAAATATTACTCTTGTTGCACTCCCTGATATATAAGATATTAAACCCTAAAAAAAGTATTTCGATCCAAGTTCTAGATCAAAAGATACCATAGGCAAAACTGTGTAGTGACAAAAATATTAATTCTGAGAAAACAAAAAAAGCTTTTCAAAACATGCCTGCAAACAGCTTGGATATGAAACTTTGAATCAATGTAACTATATAATTGTGCACTTTCTGACTGCAGTAGTAAGACAGTATGTTGGTTGTTACTTCAAACATTTTTTTAAACTATGTTTTTGTTTTGTTTTTTTGTTTTCTTTTCAAGACCAGGGTTTCCCCTTAAGCATTAATGGATGGGGACAGTAAAGGGAAACAGGGCAACTTCTGAAAAAAGAGAACTGTGATCCATGATGAAGCATTTTATGAGGATGATAAAGCTAGTACTATTCGTTAACTAGTGACCAGCAGGCAATGCAACCCCCATATGAGGAGGAGGTCTCAATAAATCATGTGTTAGATATTCTGCAGTTCTACATGGATAGGTCATTCCATGTCTCCTGCTTTAATTTTAGAAAGATTACTGGGTGGCACAATCAAGCTTTACCTTTTACAGCTCTCTGTGTCGCTTCATAACTAGTGCTTGAAATATTGAAGAACACAGACTCCAGAAAGATGAATGGACTCTCTACAGAACGACGAATATCCAGAACAAGCCAATTTTGAGGTTAAGCATATGCCCTGCAAATAACTGTCTACCTCAGAAAATGATGAAACAATGAGTTGAGGAGATGAAAACAGCACAAGCATGTTCCACAAGGAGCGAGCAGCGTCTAGCAGAGCCAAGACTTCTAGCAATGCTGGCGTGACAGACAAGTGATGTTGAAGTCAAGTGAAAAGAGTGATGAGCTATGGTATTTACAATGAAGCACCATAACTTGTGTTATACATACAGAAATACTTCTGAAGTTTCTAAAGTTTCTAAAGTGAACTAGGAAAAACACCACTACCAATTACGCAAATATGGCATCAAGCAGCAAAAGTTCTATTTTAACCGAGGCATTTCAGAACAAACGGAAGAATGGACCACAAATTAGTCTGGAGTAGGCAATCAACACTAGCAATGTCAAAGGCAAGAGGCCGCATAAAACTTTTGCACATTTCTTGGGGTCTCTACGAGCTGTAAAACGGCTAAATGATGACAATGTATACGAGCACAGTGATTGTGATCTGGTCGATTCCAACACAGTAAATGCTCGACTCGCAGTAACACAGGGGATATGGGCAATAACCACACTGCTGGAGCAACCAAAGTAACCTGGCACAATTACTTTTGTTTGGTAGGGCAGCTTGAGGTGGAGGCGGCGGCGGTGGTGATGGCGGCTCCCTGACAACCTTGTTGATGATGCCATACACGGCCAACGTGATGGTGCTGTACCACCCACGCAACACCAGGCCGTCCGTCAGAACCTGCAAAAATCACTGCATTAGAGCCGGGAGACTTCAGCATGCACCCTTAACTGACCCATCCATGAGCACATGCCATGCTTTAGTGCACGGCAGGAGATCACTACACGGATGAGATCAGCACTTAAAGGGCAACTCCGCTCAATTCCAAAAAATTTAGGCTTACATGTGATTCAAATTCACAAAGCACTACTAAACAACTCTACGTCTTCGGATATGCGAAATGTGGAATATTATTTGTGTAATCCTAATTTAAACATCAGCTGATACCGAAACCGAAACTTCGGTTGCGTCAGGCAACATTGGTCTCAGGTCGTCAGAGTCATGGCCACGTCACGTCGAACCACGTGGTCTTGTGACGTTCGGGAGGGAGCAAGAAACAGGACACGCGACTGGGGCAGGTCGCTTTGCATGGCGTGGACGGTGATGGCCCGGGGGAGAGGGGGAAGGGGAGAAGACGAAAGAGGAGAAGGGGAGCGGAGAAACAGACCGATAAGCGCGCAGCGCATCCGTGTTACGGTGATCACGTGAACGCCCGGTCAGCCAACACCGGGAGGAGAAACTCATGACGTCATCGTTCAATTTCGCTCTGAGAAGTAAAAACAAGCAAAACGTGAGAATGACGTAGTCAAGCCTCTCACGTAGTGGCCCAATGTCGGCTGCTCCAATTCCGTGGCATTGACCGCACTGATGATTGCGCCTCGCGCCGCACGCTAGAGTTGGCAGATTTCGGCGACTTGGCTCGCTTGAAGGTTTGCTGGCCAGTTTATTAAATATATAAACGGAATTGGATCGTAATATTTGACATGGGGTCTTCCTATATGATACTGAAGAGGGCTACATAGTTTTCTAAATATCAAAAATGAAGCGGAGTTGCCCTTTAACAAATTCCAACAAAAGTACAATTTGAGGAGTTGCAAGAGTGTTTACGAACACAATTTCTGGCTCTTAGACTGAGTTTGGTGCCTGATAAAGTGGCTATTGTTCCCACCAATCTTCAGACCCTAAGCACCTTTTCATTTTGCCTTCTTGGAAATTGTCACTTTTTTTTTTTTTTTAATGAAAAAATGCCTGCATACGAGCACCATCTAGTAATCAGTTCTCAATTGCATCTGAACACCCCATACAAATGTAACTAAGTCTGAGTGTGATATTTAGAAAGCTCCACTGTTTATTTTTAACTAAACATTTTTCAATTTGTTTTATGTTAACCTGTTTATATTCAAAAGACAAAGCTGACAAAATCGGACACTAGGAAAATAAGTAGGAAAGCAAAAACTATAAAGAACCTATGTAAAAAAGCTGTCACTACTATACACTAGGAAAATAAGTAGGAAAGCAAAAACTATAAAGAACCTATGTAGAAAAGCTGTCACTACTATAGTCACACAAAAAATGGAAGATGCACTCTTCCTGCCAGTAGATCACAACCTTGTGCAAAAGGTACATGAACAATCCCCTTTAGAACTCAGGGCTAGTACAGATGAATCATCAGCTTGTACAATTAGAGGTACACTGTCCTACTCAGGAAGGCTTCCCCAACACTAAACTTGCAAAAAAAAAAACAAAAAAAAAACTCCTCTTCAATGTGTAACATATCAGAGGGGAACTATAAAAGAATACATACAATAGAACAGTCTCCAGCTTCCCGAATAAAGCTGTCTTCTTTTTGTGTTGAGATCTTCTTCTTTCTTTACAAGTTCCGATTTTCTTCGTCTTCTTTTCCTCATAGAAACACAACTCGGGTATTGCACGTTTTAAAGGGGCCGTGCAACGATATTGGGTAGGAATTTTTCTCACTTTACACGAGCTTACCGACATTAGTGGGATTCAAGAATACTAGAACGCAATGCCACTGACCAAGAAGCATCTCCGTCACGGTGAAATTCGAAGGATAAACAAATGTGGACATTTTTTTTTAAGCCTCTCATTCGCAATACTTGATGACGAAGTTGTGGGGACAATGCCAACAATGAGATTTCCGGGATTTCATCACCAAGCTTTGCGATACTTGCTGCGATGATATTTAAATGCGGCTCATACAGTGGACATGAGGACTGCGTGGGCATTCAATTTGTGCTCGTGACAATCAATGCCTCGACATGCATTTGGATAGTGGCTCGAGCCTAATTGCAACAACAGCTTGAATAGCCGAGACTTAACAATGTGTTGAACTCAGCAAGCGCCCTGTGCTGTGCCAACCCTAGCGTGCGGCTATGTCAAACATTGGCAGCATTTAATCGGCTCCAGAGATCACGTGGCCGCTTTTTCCGGATGAGAGTTGAGGAAGTAAACGCTGTTCGTTTCTCTCAGATTTTTCTTGCGACTGTCAATGTGTGGAGAAAAAAATCAACGCGTGTTTCATAGGTTATGAATCTCAAAGAATAATTTTAAGCAGTACTTACTGAAAGTAAAGTTATTGTTGCATCGCCCCTCTAAAAGGCACCTCTGCATTTAGAACTGATTCTGGGGAAGAGGAGGTAGGTCTTCCAATATGCAAGGTATATTCTGCTTTGTCAAAACAAGAAATGATGCCTCAAGGGTCACAAACTTTAAGTCTGTGCGAGACCAAAACAGCTCTTGATGACAATATGACCCTAACTATCGCCACAGTCGTCTCCATTGGCTTGCACAAACACTCCCCTGAATGGGTCTCCACCCATTATTCAAGTAGAGCTGGCACACTGAGTCATCCGTGTGCAGCAAGGATGAGCCTCGTATCTTAATGCGGCAAGCTGGACACCAGCCAATAAAATTTAAAATTGTAACAAAATAAAAATGTGACACTAAAAGGTATGGGCAAATGGTCATGCTACGGACCCATGGTTTCAGAGTTACAGCAAATATTAATATCATGTCAGTGACATTTAGTATGCAGTTAACTTAATACATCCTAAACTGAAGTCAGACATTTGTTCTGGGTGGAGATAATAACCAAATAAAAAACAAATGTGCATCTATAGAATGCATATTTATGTGACTGCTTCACATCAGCTTGCTACATTTAGATAACTTTCTTCAGATCAGCTATAAGACCAAGTGAAACGGCAGAAGGGGATCTTTCGTTTCAGAGAATGTAATAGATAAAATGGACCTTAAAGACAAAATGCAGCTGTTATATTCTTTCCAGAATTTCACTCACCTCTTTTGTAAGGAACTGTATGTCCACATTTTGCTTGTATTCAAAACTGTAAAAAGAGCTCACACCAATCAGAAATCCATCAAACACCAAAAATAAATATTTTTGAATGGAAAGAGCAAGTTTAATACCTCCCAAGTCGATCAAACGTGCTGGCACTCCTCTTGCTTAAGTCATTCACAAAAAATTCCACCTGGAACTGCGATGGATTTGTAGCACTGAAATGAAGAAAATTAGCCCACCCCCAGCATGCCACATCTGTAATTTTACCAGTCCACTTTCCAAAATAAGAACAAAAAGTTTTGACAGGTACAGCCCTGTGTACAGTAAATTCAAAGAAAACCAATAACAAGCAATGCAGGACAAATAGGGAAAATCAGTGTCCATCTTAACATCAGCTGTGATGTTAAACAAACTGTTAAAAAAAAAAAAAAAAACTCTAACAAGCCACATGTTAATGCTCTTCCAAATGCTTAGAGCTCCTTTTAGCAGCACCTCAGAGCTCTAATCTGGGCTCACTACTGCTAGCTGATGCTCTGAACACCTGCACTCAATACACCTAATTACATCCATTAGCTGATCAAAGGGACTGACTGTAAAGTACCAAAGCTTATGAGCCAAAAGTTTCCTTTCTGCAGCTTTTATTTCAATAATAGAGGCAAAGGATTTCTTTTCTCCAAAACCCTGAGGTAAATTTATTGACATGATTATGATGCCTTCATCTTCATACACCTTATATGTGGGCACTAGTCATCAACTATCGCAACTTTCTGGGGGCCATCAAAACCCTTTTAAAACAAACCCCAATGTCCTTCTTAAGAACAATCACTTTAGATGCAGCCTCCCTGTGACTTAAGTAGATTTGTGTTGTACCTTATAGATACAATGTGTATGTACAGAGCCTGTTTCACATACTACGGGCAGGACAGGTGACCGTTCCACCTTTTAAATGTGGGAACGCAAGCATACTCCCGTCATCTTTTAGCATCCTCAAACATCCGATGCGTGCCTTCGATCAGGTGCACCGCTGTGCACTGGACGTCCTCGTTCAACGAAGCGCACCCTCCCGGTGCAGCTTTCGTTGCCCCAACGCGCACCAAGCGAATCGATGGTGCGCCGAAGTGCAGTCCTATCAGGCATTGCGGCCAGGAGCGGGAATCGAGGAGATGGCGGGAATAGCAGACGCGCAGTCCCCAACTTTGAAATACTTGAGACAGCATACGAAAATGTGAGTACCGCCTTTGCATATGTGTTGACATGGATAGGATATAGCACTAGATACTCATCATGATTGTCACTTGTGCCCTATATTACGGACCAGAAAGCCCGATCACAAGTCTGGCTCGTGCTTCAGTTTCGGAGATTGGTTTCTGTGCTCCTTGACAGATGTCAGCGCCACCACTATTGCTCAAGAGTAACTAAATGGCAGAGCCAGAGTGTCGCCTTTATTTTCCATTTGCCACCAACTCGTCATTGCCGGAGGAGGGGTCACATGCGCCAAGTTTGACTTTCGTAATTGCGGAGAAGCAGCCTCGCCTCCAGAGCACTGGGTTTGGAGCGGAAGACAATTTTTGCTCTGCATTCTAAAACTGTAGATCTTACACTGAAGACTGACAACCAAGAAGCTTCTTGAACCTATGGACATTGTGTGTGTCACTTTGAACCTTTGGACATCGTGTGAGGTGCAACTGCATTCTTTTTATGATGCAAGCACCGTTTCAAGGAGGCCATGTTCAAGCACACAACACAACAATGCAGCGCACGTACACTTCCAAAGTATTTGGGAAGTCCACGACAGTGCATGCACAGTGGTGGCTTCATGCCGCTGTGTCTGTCTCATCTTCTGCAAGAGCGACATTCGCTTCTCCCGTAATGCCTAAAGTAAAAAATTTGAGACTGTTGCAATATTCTGCTCCACGAGTAAAGCATATAACATTTACTCTATATTGCTCCACCCCCTTAGATTATTTTGTCTCTTCTTTTCTTTTCTTTTTTTTCACTAAAAAAGTGTTTTATTTTCCTAGGAAAGAAAAGTTTGATATCTGCAAGAGCTGAAAAAGGTGAAATGGCCACATGACCTCAACGCAAAGATCCACTTTAGCCAAGGAAAAAATAAAGAAACTTTATCTGAAAGTGACGAGTGCTCTACCATTTCCAATGATGAGTCACACCACCTTTGTGATGACTCTGAAACTATTCAAAATCGGCAACCTGAGCGAAAATTAAAGGAAACATTTACTTGGCCTCTACTCGCAACTCCAACTCAACTCTGTTACATCACACCGCGGTGGTGGCACGTCGGGCGCACTTCTGGTATGGGGTTGTGGGCGGAAGTCGCCATGGGGGATGAGCGTTTCCGTGTTGTTTTGGAAGAAACCAGACAAAAACCTGCCTTCTCGTCAAAAACGCCGTGACTGGGGCTGCACCAAAAGAGATGGGAAAGGTTTGAAGATCAGTTTTCATCTGGTTTCTGACCTGCTCAGTTCATTTGAGAATGTGGATAGGTGCAGTGAAGAGGGAAACAAGACACCGTTGGACCACGATTGCTTGTGCGGGAAGCACTTCTGGTTGGATTCACGGAAAATTGTAGAAGTCAGATTTATTTGTTTTGTTCCAAATTAACGCAGGAAAACCGTCAGGTTGTCCGGACCACATACGGACCATGTTCAGCATCTTCACATTTAAACGGCCGTCTGATCTTTCAAAGTGCCGTCTGCTCGTTCAAACAAAAGCGGCCAGTAGACAAAACATTGTGATAAGGAGTGCAGGCCTCAAAAGAATTAAGTTTGAAGGTTGTTTGGGGAAAGCTCGGTGTAAACAGTAGATACCAAGGAGGTGTTAATCATGTTTACCAGTGGCCTCAACGACTTGTTATGCCCGATTTACTTGGTCCAATTCTGCTTAACATCTTCAGTATCGACGTCGAGCATCGCAGCTAGCTACCATCTACACTTTTGCAGCCCGAGCGACGTCGCAACTAATAAAAGCGAGCAGAATCTCATCATGTGAATAGGGCTTTAGCGTTCATTCCGCGGCGTTCACGCAGAATAAATTGCCAGATGTCACATTATTTACACGAAGTTTTGCGGTGTAACTAGCCTTGTTAATGACTGGAACGAAGCGCCAAAAGACGGGGACAAAAGAAGTAGGTAACGACGACACAAAGAAGTAGGAAACGACGACATTTCACTCAAGCAACTAAAGTAGTAAAACAGTGGTACGAAAATGTAGAACCAACAATTCCAACGCAAAGAAGAGCACGGGGACTTGCGCCGACACCAATAACGTCACACTCCAGTGGGCTGTTGATGCGGGACCCTGCACTTCTTACCCACACTTCATCACGCATGCGCGCCGCCGGTGGCGTGCTGCTAGGGGCGCACCGGTTGGTTTGTAAACATGAAAATTGGGTTGTGTGTATGTCTATACAGCCTAGAACTTGGTCTGCCTCAACAAGCGACGAGTCTCCCAACTGTAGATAAGAAATTTAGCCAGTGCAGTACAACCGCTAGCCTGGGGTCTTTAACGTGCATCACGCAGTAGTGATACACGACCGCATGCCAGTATGATGCTCATCCAGATCAAAAGGACAAGGGTGGGGATTGAGCCCAGGATCATGGGTTCTGCAGCGCAAGCTTTCGCTCCACGTGCTCAGAGCTGGTGTGCACAAGCCCACTCGGCCACCAATCCCCTTTTTTTTCTTCTTGTTTTCTTTTTTAAACATGAGTTTGTGCGTAGATGGTGGGGCAGTAGTTCTAAGATGACGGAAGAGACGGGGATCAAATCCTCGGAATTCGCTCGGTGACGCTGGTCAGTGTGCTAAACAAATTTACAAATATGAAGCGATCAGGGCAGGAAGGAGCACATCACAAGTGGCAGAGATGTTGACATGCATTAAGAAAATGGCCATTTTGCTCTTTAAAAGTTGAGAAGCAGAACACAACAATATCTATTTTAACGCTTTCGCTTTTTCCGTTAAAACAGCATGATGCATGAACACGCCGACCCGAATCATGCGGTAACAGCAGCACCAAGGTCGACAGTCCCTGCTGCAATCTCCGCCGCCATCCCCGCTCCTCTGATTCTTCATTCAGCCGTAAGAGGGCGAGCGGCAGGCTCGAGTTGCAAATAGTCAGCGACAGGTTGAGTCCAGAGGAAGCTCCTCCCACCCCCTTCTACTAGAGCAAATGCTGGAGAGGAGGTTGCCTCTTCTCCATCGTTCACTCTGTTGAATATGAAAGAAGTAGGAGGAGTTTCCCCTGAATTCTTAACCTGTCACTGACTATAGATGTTTGTTGCTCTCCACCTTCCTTTATCTTTTCAACAGTACCACACGGCAATGAACTACTCCGTGGACACATCAGATGACCACGAATTAAAGCGGAGAGCAAGTCGTCTGCTTCCTGCACAGGGGTTGCGGTGACGTCAGAACGACGCCGAGTTTTGATTGGCTTTGATTGAAAGGACTGTGGGTAGACCTCAATGCTAGATGCCTTGAGGTTTACCCTTTTTTCTTTTTTTTTTTTTCAATCAGCCAATAAGAACTCGGCATTCTGACATCATCGCAACCCCTGTACAAGAAGGAGGGGGACCTGCGCTCCGTACAGTGAGGAGGCCAAGTGAATGCTTCCTTCAGCTTTCGTGCAAATTACCGACTAAAAAGTGTGCTATGGGTCAAAGCATTTGGATTATGGCCGAGTCCTCCCGGCGAACGCTGAACCAACGTGGGTTAAAAAAAATGGCCGCAGAAATTAGAACAACACATCGCTCGCAACCGTTTGCAAGTATCAACGCACCACTGTCACCAACCGGCATACCGCGATAGCGAGCATGACCGGGTGAACAACGATGCGTCTTTCCCCCACTACGAGCCGGATTGGTGGAATGTTTTCCAAGGTTCGTGGCGAAGCTAGACCAGACTGAGAAAGCAATCAGGCCAGTGACGAGGGAGACCTCACCCGAGGCGATGACCCCCCGGGAAGTCCGCCTGGACTCGGGCTCCGAGAGGGATTATCCGAATCTCATGAATGTAGACCGGATTCGGAAACTGGACCAAATCCAGGTTCGTCTCCTGCCCAAGTCGGAAAAAAAAAAAAAAAAAGAAAACAACATCCAGAGATTATAAAGTGTTGAGATTATTTCTCACAGACATCATGAACGGCAAGGATAGTGTAAACATTCCCGGAGACAATTCATTTGGGGCAACTATCTCTCGAGCACTTTACTTGTTCAGTGTCGACACTAATCGGGCCGTTATTTTCTACTTTTAAGCAGAGTGTCGAAAGGAAAGTTGGGACGAACGCTTTACCTCATTGCTTTCGTGGGAAAATGTGTCGAAAAATAGCAGTTCACATGTGTTTTCCATTTCCACTGGCGTCTTAGCCAAGGCCATCGCTCAAACAAGGCTAGCTACAAGTGCCATGAATAACGCGATCAGCCATTTTGTCATTTTCAGCGCGTCCCTCAACACGCCGCCAGAGGGAACCGCTGTGTTCACAAACGACAGCGCCGGAGTGGCCGGAGTGGCCAGCGTCTCAAACAGCACTCTCGTTGCCAAAAGCTCGCCTAGGGAATTCCCCTGCAGAACCTCGCACAGGTCCCTCCGCGTGAAGTAGACAATTACGCATAAATACTATTCTAGCGCTAGTTTCTGTCTGTAGTCAATAACACTGATCAAGTATGACATACTCCATAAATGAGGAATTTGAGATATTTTATGAACAAAAGTATTTTAGTTGAGTTTTCAAACTATGTAACTTCACGCGGCCGCGCCTCCATAGAGGGGATTCCCGACTCTCCTGACTATCGCGGTGAAATTTTGCCAAGCAGCGGGGATGAAGCAGCGTCCGTGCTAGGAGTGGTTCAAACACTTGCTCTGGACTATTCAGCTCGCATTTTCACCATTATTAATGTAAGTACGAACATCGCTGTTGCTTTAAATGAACAACATAATTTCATTTCGAGTGCTTTTTGCTTTTTCTGTTACACAGTTGGCGAAAGTACGCTCAGGACAAGTTCACTTACTCGCGCTAGGAAACTCCGCTGGTAAACAGTATCGGCCCGTCTCTGTGAGAAAAAACTCACGAGTTTAATGAAACTCCTCAGCTTTACCAAGGTTAACGGCAGTTTTCGCACAATAGATCCGTTGCTCTCGGGCAGGGGTCGCGAGCGCGTCGATGCGACCATGTAATGCTGGCTGCACCATCCACGCGGGGCTGTAACGTTCGATTTTGACAATTTTGCTCATGGCACGTTCGAATGCAAGCATCTGTCAGCATATATACTCTGTCTCATACTTAGTACGCAACGCTGTCAAAGCTACTGGCACGAGCATGGGGCTTGATCTCGTTGATCATTCGCGCGCGTTCTCGCGCAAACAAAACCATAGATATGAAGCCACACGGTCGCGCCAGTAGTTTTGACAGCGTTGCACACTAAGTATGAAACAGAGTATATAGACGCGCAATAACAAAACGTCTAAAAATTAAAAATAAAAAAAAATAAAAAAGAATTATGCAGCTCGCGGCCTCCAAGGAATGTTGAATGGGACATTCAACATTCACCTTCATTATTTGTATTGCTTTCTTTCATAGCTGCCGTGAGCCCGTATGTTTCACTTTACTTGATAGCGAAGCTGAAACCACTTGCAAAAGCATGTTCTCCTAAACGATGCTCGCGCTGCACGAGCCCGCGTTAGTGGGGAAGCGTAATGACGCATGTTTGAAACGCGAGCCGCGCGAGCTACAAATATTCTATTTGCTCGCCTGGAGCGTTGCTCAAAACTTGAGAGCTAGTGAGGCGCAGGCATGGGTGCCTCTTTACCGTTTGTTCGCTTATAGATGAATGCTCTTGTCGATCGGGGTCGTTTTTTCCTCTGTTTTGTTTACATTTTTAAAATATCTGGTTCAGGAACTTGTAAATTTATACTGCGTCGAGTGAGTCATCGCTATCACAGCCTCAAATAAAAGCCCAGAAGTTCTCGTTTCTCGGACCTCTAGGAATATGTAATATCTGTGTTGACGATCAAATACATCCGGAACTCAAATACTTTCCGAGCATGCGAGCCTCGTGCATGCTCGTGCATGTAAGTTCCAACCGCTTGCGCAATCTGTCGCTCTCCGAGCCGCGAGGTGACGCAAGCGGTTGTAGGAACGTATTGGATGGTGTATCGTACATTTGCGTTCGAGTACGTTGCAACCAAAGGTTGCGACCGACACTACCAGCTTCTAAGCCGCTTACACCTTCCGACCGTTATCCCTACTGCTGCTCTGCCTGTCGTAAGTACTGTCTCTGTCGGAGTCGGTCGCAGGTGTGTGAATCAGCCTTTACGTCCGCGAGCCTGCATGAGGATCGTATGCTCGGTGAGCTTTTGGGCTTAGGATTTATTTGATCGTCAACACACGTATTTACATACACCTAGAGCAGCGGCGTAGCCACGGGGAAGCCGCCCCCCCCCCCCCCCCCCCCTCCCCCGAAAAATATTCCTGGCTACGCCACTGGCCTTAAGGTAAGGTCCGAGAAACTTCAGAATTTTAGGGCTTTGATTTGGCATTTTGAAGCATGGTTAAAAGCGCGAAAAAGACGAACAGAAGTGAGCAGACAAACACCGGCGCTGCTGCGCCGGGATACACGCATGCGTATAGCCTAAGTGGCGATAGGTGTATCAATATACGTATATATATATTCATCATGGTGCTGGGTGTAAACAATCTTGGTCATTCAAAGAATCGTTATGATTGCCGCTTAGTGTTTCTACAAAAGGTAGACAAAAAAGCTTGTCCTCAATCTTTCGTGACACATTGAAATTATTGTTGTTTTTAGCTGAGTTGCGCTGTCATCATATATATTGCAAGACGTATTTCGTAACAGATTAGAGTGAACAATTTTGATCACTCCTTTCTGCATGATTATTCGCCTGCATCTTGGTGCTGGGTGTAAACAATGTTGGTCAGGCAAACAAGCGGTGTGATTGCCGCTCAGTGTTTCTACAAAAGGTAGACTAAAACGCCCCCGTTATTCGCTAAAATGACGATTAGCTGAAATGTCGCTGTTCACTAAAACGTCATCAGGAAGTTTTCGTAGATCGTTTTCGCCGTCCCGCAACGCTTACCGCAACCCGCTACGATACCCGTAACTATACAGCCAAGGCCATCGGCGCGCAGGCGCAGTAGCGGCTTCATCGTTGCGGAGGGCTTAGCGGAGGGGAAAACTCGGTCCACAAAAACTCCGTATTCGCTCATGTATTATGGACCCGTTTACAGTATTTAACTTGCTGAATGACTCTGGCACTCGGGTGTTTCAAGAATAAAATGACTGATTCTTTCTGATTAGGGAATTGCAACAAGCATCAGCATGTTTTTTTTTTCTCATAAACGTATTTTATTGCAACCGTGAGGGACAATCCGGGAACTATTAATTATTAATTTTGACGAGGTCAGCTAGTCTGGTCATTTCTTTCATCATTTAAAAATTGACGTCATTCATGAAATGTGTATGATGTCAAGTCATCCAAATTCATCATCCTACGGAATTTCAACCTATAGGACGAAACAAACCAAGGAACGAAGGGACTTCATTAAAACATGCTACACTCTAAGAAATGTCTGCTCGTCTACTTGCCCGCAAAACACTCGAAGAGACAATCTCTGCGATCTACGAAATCAGCTCAGCGAACGATGGGGCGGAACATCTGTTTAGACCTAAAAATGAAGTCTGCGCTGTGGCATTACGCAATGCAAAGCCTCATGCCCACATTGCGTAATGCCACAGCGCAGACTTAATCTTGAGGACTAAACAGATGTTCCGCCTCAACATTCGCTGAGCTGATTCCGTAGACCGCAGAGATTGGCTCTTTGAGTGTTTTGTGGGTAAGCAGACGCGCAGGCATTTCTTATAGTGATATCCCTGCAATACTAGGGATATACGAATCGCAGCAATCGTGATTCGTGAAATGCATAATAACATGATTTCGTAGTTGTATCATCCTTCGCATTAAACCAGTTAATGAAATAATTATTTGATTAAAGGTCACCGATTAATCGGTTAAGTTATTTATCAGTGCACCCCTCCCGCTTTTTACCCAGGAAGCATATACACGAAAACCTTTAAACATGTTGATATAATCTGATTAACCGTTCGATCAGGGACATGTTTCTTAAGGTTGAAAAGGCGGCAATCAAGAGTGTATACCTACATTGATCAATTTTCTTCTTTGGGAGATTGCTGGTATGAGCGGGCGTCAAATATACGTGTGCGGTGGAATACATATGCGTATTCTCCTCACAGTATCCTCGAGGTGACTAGCGGTTGTTCCAGGACCAAACACTCTGAGAAATGCCTGCGCGTCTACTTACCCGCAAAACACTCGAAGAGCCGATCTCTGCGATCTACGAAATCAGCTCAGCGAATGATGAGGCTAAACATCTGTTTAGACCTCAAAATTAAGTCTGCGCTGTGGCATTACGCAATGCAGACATGAGGCTTTGCATTGCGTAATGCCACAGCGCAGACTTCATTTTTAGGTCTTAACAGATGTTCCGCCCCATCATTAGCTGAGCTGATTTCGTAGACCGCAGAGATTGACTCTTTGAGTGTTTTGGGGGTAAGGAGACGCGCAGGCATTTCTTAGAGTGAAGTAAAACGCTTACTAAAATGTTAAGCACTCGGGCCTGAAGAGGAATTCGTGAAAGAAGAGATGACTGACACCCACTCAGGGCTCCCGCTTATCTCGTTAAACCAATCTGCAGAGCTTTATGGCAATCGGCGAAGGAATTTTGAGAAGTCCCTCTTTTTGAAAAAAGAAAAAAAAAACAACACGTTTGTCTTTACTGTAAAAGCTTTCTTGGGTAGTAACGCGCGTTACTATCAGTTCACGAAATTACAGTCAGTGCGCAGGTGAGCTGGTGGAAGTTTACCACGATGCTTTTTTACCCGAGACTAAAGCAAACGGAGGAAACTTTTTTTGTTGTTGTTTACATTGGAAGAGAAAGTAACAGGGGACGACCGACGTCTCTAACTCAGCTGATAATTTTATTCAACCGCCACCCTCCTTTTATATACAGAACTACAACCGCCACAAAACCACCGAACATCCTCTTTTTCAAGGTCGCAGCACACAATTCTAACCCACAACACAATCGTTTTTTTAATCGTAGCAGAGAGCCAAGATTGGACCCTTAACGCATCACTCTACACCCTGAACTTAACCAGACTGTTTTAACTCACATTCGTCCGAAATGCCACTTCGGATGGTTGTTAATGAAACTGGAACATGGCAAAATGTTGTTCCCGTGTTTCTTGAAAAAAGGTTTAGGACATGTTCATCTAGACTTGAGCGATTTCTGTCAATTCAAGCGAGTCGATCGAACTACTCAAGGATCACCATAGAAGAGAGTGTACCATTTTTTTTCGATGGAAATCGAAGATCTCTACTACTTGAAAGAGTCGTCTACTGAAGAGGGTGAAATTGATACTGTAGCTGAATTTGGTTAAATTTCAATAACAATCGGGCATTTCTATATATAGTTTTCTTGCTATTGTTGAGAACTACCTCCAGTCAACGGTTGTAGAATATGAAGGAAAAAAGTATATACAAAACGAGGGAGTGTGCATATCTGTTTCACCGGCTTTAGCTGAAATGTACCTTAGCTCCATGGATTGTGCTGTGTCTGATAGGTTGCAAGAGTCGTACGTCAGATCCATGTATTGTTAAAAGATATGTTGATGACATAGTGATTTGCTGTTTTCGCAAAGGTTTATCAAGCAGCATAGAAACGTTGATTAGATCAGCAGCAGCTGAGCTTCAGTTCACAGTGGAAAGGCCCAAGAAGAGAGCCCTTAAGTTTTTAGACTTGCTAATTCATACTGAAGAAGGTTAATTGTGCTGGGAGTATGGCAAATAAAGTTCAAAAC